CACCCGCCTTCCGGCCGCATCCCAAGGGCGGCGGCCGCCGTCACAGGCCGTGCGGGGAGGAAGCCGGCGGGGACGGGCCCGGCGTGCGCAGTCCCCGCGCCGGGCTGGGCTCATTCTTCCCTGCCCCGGGCCCGGCGCCTCAGAGCTCAGCCCCCTGGGGGCCAGCTCGCAGCGGTGCGGATATACGAAGCCCCTAAAGGTGCAGGGCAGGTGCCCAGAACCGTGCCAACCCGTGGGCGGGCGCGCCTGCTAGAGGGGGCCGAGACCCACAGTTCCTTCAGTGTGCATTGCCTTGTCCGGGGGGAGAGCAAGTGTTCAAAGCGAGAACAAATAATAGTGTTTGTCTCTGCTGCTCTGGAAAGAGAACAGCGATCCAGTGGGCCCGAAGGCATCTTACACAATAGAGGCAGAGGATTGTCCCAGTGTCCCCACCGTTCCGGTCCTCCTCCACTAGGTACCGCCTAGGTAGATGTTGGCCCCTGGAGGCAGCTGGAAATCAGATCTAGCTCCTTTTCCCAAAGGCGGTGGGGAGGGCAGCCTCAAGGTTATTATGCAGGTTCTCCAGCCCACCCCAGGGCAGAGGCAATCTGGCATTTCTGTCTGAGCTAAGTAAGGACCTGTAAGGTGCTAAGGCTCTGTGGCCTCCAGCCGGGTCTGTCCGGCCTGATGGACCACCCACCCTTGGAGTTTTAGTGGTGGCAGCTCACATCTGGAGGCTGGGCATCACACTGACCTTGGGTCCAAGCCCTCTCCACAGGAGGCAGGGATTTCCTGTGAGGCTGAGTCTGCCTATAAGGCTGGGGATACAGCAAGTGGAGCTCCTTGCACCCAGCTCCTGGCCTGGCAGGGGTCCTTTCCTGACTTCAAGGTCAGTTTGGACTATTCCAGAGCCGGGAAATCTTTGGGGGAGCCCTGCTCCGTTTGCTTTTTATTGCTTATTTGAAGATCCTGTCTCCTGTCTGTGTGCACTGGAGCCCCTAGGGCAGAAATAACGTAGTCGTGGTGCTTTGGAGATAGACAGACCTGGAGTCAGATCTTCCAAGCACTGATTATTTCCTGGGGGTGAAGGTGTAAACATCTAATTGTTTGCAGAGAGCTTCCACCTGTCTCATCGCACTTGGTTTGCGCAGGTTCCTCCAGGTTAGTGGGCAGGACCTCCGCCACTCCTGCGGTGTGGAACAGGAGATGAAATAATAATTCCCTAAGGCCATCCAGCTCCCAGACCCTCAGGGGCAACTCCCATCCAGGTCTTCCAGTTCCAGGTCCAGGGTTGTTTCACTGCCTCTCAAATAAAGAAAATATGGACCTGGGCGTGATCTGCAACCCTGTAACCCCAGTACTTGCGTTCAAGAGTTCAAGCCCAGACTGAGGCCCTGTCTCAAAAAAAAAAAGGAAAATGCAATTTAAATTTTCCCTTGGAAGACTTGGCTTTTATTTACTTTGTCAAGGGGCTGACGAACCAGTCTATACATACTTTTTTCAAGTAGCTTCTAACAGTTGAGGAGTTTTGAATAGTTTTAGGCACTTCCGTACATCCACAAGTGTGCTTCCGGGTATTCTTTCTCACCCAGTGTGCCCACAGGGCTGCCTCTTGCTGTCCCTGAGTGACAGTTGCAGATTGTCCCTAAGTGGCTACTTGGGCTGAGGGACCTGTGAATGGGATGTCTGGGTGCGGTTAGCCTGGTCAACTCGGCCTCCACCCAGCCCCAGAACACTGGAGAGCAGCTATAGCAGAGTGTGGAGCCCTTTAAGGACATGTGAGCTAACACCCAGTGTTGAAAGAGGAGCTTCCTGACCTAGCACAGCCAAGCCATGAATTTAACAGGACTAAACTGGACACCCTGAGGAGCATGAAAGGGAGACTGGAGTGGAAAATTTGGGGGTCACCATTTAGTAGGGCAAGGATGCCCAAGTCCTCACCCCCCTAGATATTAGGGTGATCATGAACTGTCAGTTGGGAAGCTCTTCAAGGAAGGTGGGGCTTTATTTATTTAGTTTTTTTGAGACAGGGTCTCGCTATAACTCACTATGTAGCCCAGGCTGGCTTCAAACTTGGGGTTATCCGCCTGCCTCAGCCTCCTGAGTGCTGGGATTACAGGCGTATGCCACCACACCTGGCAGGTGGGGCTTCAAAGGCAACTGCAGGCCTGGCCCAGGGGGCCTGACTTGATTTCAGCTCTGCCCCTTGATGGCTGAATGATCTGATGTTCACTGCTTCACCTTCCTGTGTTCCCATTTTCTCATGGGTTCTGAGTGTCTTGCATGATGGCTGGCACATTGCGTGTCAGTGCAAGGTCTTTTTTTTTCCTAATGCAAGGTCTCTATATGCGAAGTAGGACAGTGGCCCAGGAGGACAGTGGCCAGGGTTCCAGTGCCAGCCCCGCCTCTCCCGGATTGTGCGTGGCTTCAGGCATACTCTATAACCTCACTCAGGTGGGGTTTTCTTTATGTAAACTGCAAACTGAATAGAGCCTGCCTTAGGTTTATTGTGAGGATTGATACCTTTGACCCAGTGCCCCCATTTATAACCGCAAACTCACAAAGGAATGTGGTGAGAACCAGTACCTTGGGCAGCCAGGCCATTGTGGGTCATCTTTCCTTTGACCTTTTGGTCCAGCCCGGAGAGATAGTTAGCTCTCAGCTGTGCCACTGGAGGGGGCTTTGGCACGAGATGGCCCGGCAGGTGCATGACCTTGGGACCTGTTGTGGGCAGCTTGCCCTGTTCTAGGGTGCTGTGCTTCAAGCCGGTCCAGGGGAGCAGGGATCATTTGTACCAGATGGACCATGAACACCTTCAGTAGTGCCCAGTGTCTGATGGACATGCCAACAAGTACCCGTTGCGTGGGTGTAAATTTTAGTATGTTAAGGGCTTGTCATTTTCCCCCCTGGGCTCTGTCTTTGGCTTTATTGTGGAACTCATGGACACAGAATCTGGTTTACAGAAGCCTCATTCAGCTGTATTCTCGACAATTGCATGAGAAGATGCGAGGTACTGGCTCCCTTCCTGTGGGCTGTGGGTTCCTGGTGGAGGTGCCAAGAACCTGTGGTGAGGAGGCCTGTGTCCTTGGCTTCCAGGACCACCCTGTGGGGTGCGGCAGGCAGCCTTTCATCCATCACCCGGGCTCTGCACCTGCAGCTGACCAGCTCCCTGGATGCATTCAGGCCTGAGGGTGACACCTCCCCCCTCCCTGCTCTGTGGGTGGGGCTTCTCCAGGTGGTTGTACAGGTGGTTTTTTTTTTTTTTTTTTTTTTGGTTTTTCTCCGGTACCAGGAATCGAGCTCACGACCTTGCGCTTGCCAGGCAGACGCTGTGCCACTGAGCTAAATCCCCAGCCCCTGCACAGGTGTCTTGTCCTTGCCCTTGTGGGTGCTGTTTCACTGTGTGACCCCCATCCTTGGGCTTCCTGCCTACACCTGACCCACTGGGGAAGCTTGTTATGGATGTACTCTGCCTGTCGGTAACTCTCCAATGGAGAGGCAGCAGAATGCAGATTTATTTTATTTTTTTGGATTGAACCCAGGGCAAGCAAGGCAAGTGCTGTACTCCTGAGCTGTATCCCCAGCCTTCTTTACCTTTTATTTTAGGATCTTGCTAAATTCTCTAAACTGTTCTTGAACTTGGGGTGCTTCTTCCTCATTCTCTCCAGTAGCTTTCGAATACAGGCGTATGTAAGCATGGTCAGCGAAATGCAGGTTTTATCTATGTGTTTATTTTGGTGCTACTGGGCACTGAACCCAGGACCTTTGCACTGAGCTACATCCTCAGTCCGCCCTTATTATTATTTATTAATTAAGTTTACTGGTACATTTTAGGTATGCACAATGATTACGTTCATTATAGGGAGCTTGTACCTGTGCATGATACAACTTGATTCTTTTTTTTACTCAGTCCCCTGCCCCTGATTATTTTTTATTTGAGAGAAGGTCTCATTAAGTCGTGAAGTTGCCCAGCTTGCCTGGGTAGGATTACAGGTGTGCAGCGCCATGCGCACCTGTGCAGTGACCGCCTGATTGTGACATAGAATATCCTGTTAGCCCACACGTCCCCTTCGACCTCTCGGCAGTCATCTCCACTCCACTGCTGGCCTCTGGCAGACGGATCTGCTTGCTGTCGCTGCAGCTTTGCCCTTGCTAGAATTTTGCCGTGGTGGAATCATACTCAGTGCAGTGCCATGCGCCTCCCCCACGCCTGTCACACGCCTGCCTGTGTGTGGCCCAGCCGTCTTTCCCTCCCTGGACATTGCAGCTGGTTGATCTCTTTCATTTGGGTTCTCAGCGTTTAGCCACGGCAAATTGAAATGTGGACAGACACTTGTTATTTGGTGCTGTTAAGGGGCTTGCGTTACATATTTTAGCTGGGATTACTGCTTGGTGCTTGTGTTTATTTATTTAGAGACAAGCTCAAACTGCTGGGCTTAAGGGATCCTCTTAACCCAGCCTCCCAAGTAGGTGATACTACAGGTGCACCGGGCTTGTGTGTGTGTGGTTTTTTTTTTTTTTTTTTTAACAATGAGGCTGTCTTTTAGAAGCAGTGCTAAAATGTTTCCGGGTGCTGCCAGGCTGTGCTGTCTGAGATTGGCTGCAAAATGAGCTTGTCTGGGGGAGTGGCCCAGAGCGGAAAGGAAACCTGGCTTCGAGTTGCTAAGGGAGGGATGGGGACTTACTCCCTCCTCCCTCTGCTCCTGGAGCCTTTGATGCTGGCCACAGTAGCGTAGAAGGAACAAACACTTGGGAGAGGCCCCACCCCAGACCTGAGCTGTGCATCTTCGAAACCTGCCACTCCCTCCGGCCCATGGCACCCGCCGACTTCCTTATCCTCGCTGCCGGGCCAGGGCCTCTGTGCCCCTTGGCAGCCTCCCAGGCCTGCTGACAGCCACGTGCTGGGACCTCTTGGCCCAGAGGGAGGCTAGGCAGAGGCGGCCAGGCCTGGATGAGTGGTTAAGGCTGGAGATGGGGCCGTGGGACTGCCCTCCCACAGACAGGTAGTGCTCCGGCCCTGGCTTCCCCTCATTTGCTTCTGAGAGAGGTCAGGCTGTGTGACTTCAGGTCGAGTCATGAATTCCTTCCGTCACTGAGCCCTGGAAGCCAAGGCCAGCCGCCTCCCTGAGCAGGGCATTTGCTGCCGCCGAGCTGGCCGGGCACCATCAGAGCGAGAAACCTCCGGCCCACACACCGCAGGATGAAGCTGCTTGCCAGGGTTCTCCGCCTCCAGCTGCCCGGCAGGCTGGCGGCCTCCGGGAGGCTTGGGGCCGGCCAGGAGCCGTCGGGGCCTGCGGGAAGATACTGGGCCTCCGTCCGGGCTGTCAGGACCAGCCCCAAGCTCTCTCTTGCCGGACCTCACATCATTGCCACGGGAAGGTAGGATGACTGGCAGAATTCTGTGTCTGTGGATCCCGCCCACCCCGGTCCTCCCCAGGCCTCGGGCTGCAGGTCGGCAGGGTCTTGAGAATGTCACGGTGGGGTTGCTGCCTGCCACCCTTTCTCCGGCACCAGGCTGTGGGAGGCGGGGACTTTGAGGGTCTGAGGTGGCGTGGAGGTCACAGCTCCCCGGGCACCTGCAGTTGCCTGCGCTCTTTCTCCCAGGCGGAGGGCCACACACTGGCTCCCAGGCTCAGTGTCCCCGTTGCAGGGGCAGAGCCGGGCCTCCGGGCCAGCAGGCTGGTGCAGGGCTGCGAGAGCGGTCCCTGTCGCAGGTCGGTCTTTACCAGTGCGTCCTGATGCTGCTCTTCTCCCTTCTGCTAAGCTCTGCAAGCACCTTTGTCTTCTGGGCACAGCACACACCCCCGGCTGTTTTGGGATGCGGTTCACACACCCTACTACATTTCATCCGTTGAAGGGTGCAGCTTGTGTTTGCAGTGGCTCACAGACCTAGGTGACCATCACTTGAATGGATTTTTTTTTGAGTCAGGGTCTCACTACTGCAGGCTGACTTTGAACTCACCATGTAGCCCTGGCTGACCTTGAGCTCAAGGTAATCCTCCTGCCTCAGCCTCCCGAGTGCTGGGATCACAGGTGTCTGCCACCACGTCCGGCCTGGATTTGATTTGATTTGATTTTGCAAGGGTGATAGGAAAAACTGTTGTCCTGTCACTGAGCTCCTAAAACCTTGGGAATCTCCAGGGTGACAAGAGAGTGTCTTTGTATGCTAATAAGGTGACTGGTAGCTGCCCCCTCATAGCTTTGGGATAGAGACTGGGCTCCAGAGGAAATGGAGGAAAGACCAGCAGGATTTGAGGGCTGAGCCAGTTGTGGGGTGTAGTAGTGCAAGTTTGTAATCCCAGCACACTTGGGAGGCTGAGGCAGGAGGATCATCAAGGCTGAATAGTGAGTTCAAGGCCAACCTGGATCAAAAAACCAAAACCAACCAAGCAAAAAGTGTTAGAAGGTTGGAACTTTCAAACCTCTCTGATCTCTGTCAGCCTGGGGAGGGTCTAGGGTTGAGTTAGTCACCAGTGGCAGTGATTTGATCACTCGTGAAATCTCCATAAAACCCTTCAACTAGGAGATCAGGGTTTGGGGAGTACCCCAGCTGGTGGGTCAGGGAAGGGCCAGCTTGGGGCAGGCCTGGGAAGGGCGCAGAAGCTCTGCCCCTTCTCGTGTTCTTTGAGCCTCTCCCGATGCTTCTCCCTCGTGGGTTGTAATAAACCAGAAGTAGTGAGTAGCGCACCTCCCTCTGCTCCTGAAGGGAGCTTGGACCCTTGGGGCTTAAGCGGGCATTGGAGCTGGGGTGGGCTTGCTAGACTGAGCTTTTCCCCTAGAGCATCTGCGCTGACCTTTGGGGTCCGTGCCAGCCTTGAACTCACCATCGAGCTGGGGAGTTGGGGTAGCCCGGGAAGAGGGGCCTGGGAGCAGAAGCAGCAGTCACCTGCCGAGTCGCCTGCCAGGATGCCATCGTCCCTTCCGCCACAGCGGGCAGCTGGTTGCTGGCTTCTGGTGATGGCTGGGGCAGTGGTGTGAGGGGTGAGATGTCGTTCGGCCTGGAGTTTCTTTGATGAGTAATGACCTTGTCCATCCTTTCGTGTGCCTGTGACTGCCCAGCAGCTTCGAAGAAGTGTCTCTGTAGATCCTCGGCCCACCTTTCCATCCACTTATTCGTCTTTTAAAAACTAATTTTGGTGGCGTGCACCTGTAACCGCAGCACTTGGGAGGAGGCTGAGGTAGGAGGGTTCACGGCCATCCTGGCCTACATAATGAGTTCAGGACTAGCCCAAACTACATAGCGAGACCCTGACCCAGAAATAAAATTTATTGGTATGCTTTTGATACATGTAATGATCACATTCATCATAGGGAATTTGTACCTGTATATAATATATTTTCTTTTTTTTCTCCATTCCCCTCCCTTGTCTTTATTAATTGAATTATAAGAGTTTATTAGTTGAATTATAAGGTCTCGTATGGAATTTTTAAATTAAATTTTGTCCCAGTTTTTTTTTTTTTTAATTGTGTTAGATACACATAAACAAAATGTACTGACGGAGCTGGGCCTAGTGGTCCCGTGCTCACAACCTAGCACTCTGGGAGGCTGAGGTAGGAGGATCACAAGTTCTAGCCCAGCCTGGCCAACTTAGTTACTTACACATGTGAGACCCTGTCTCAGAACTTACAACTGAAAAATAGGCTGGGGTTGTACTCAGTGTGAAGGCCCTGGTTAAATACCAGGTACCACAAAAAAAAAAAAACCCAAAAAACCCCAAACACAAAAACAAACCGACTTCACCATTTCTGAGTGTAGAGCTCGGTGGTGTTAAAAATCCATTCGTGGGCCTGGGGTGTAGCTCACTGGCAGAGCACTTGCCCTGCCTGCTTGAAGCCCTGAGTTTGATCCCACATGCTAGAGAAACAAAAACAAATTAAAAATGAGTTCCTGATGCAGTGCAGCCCGAACCCGTTGGTCTCCAGAGCTCTTTTGTCTGCTTAATGGACGAGCTCTTCCACTGAACTGTTGCTCCAGCCCCTCCTGCAGCCGGCAGCTGCCCCTCTGCGTTTTACTCTATGAATCAACTGTCTAAGGGGCATCAAGTAAGTGAAATTGTGCAGCATTTTGGGGTTGCGTATGTCATTTGGTGGGTTCCTCCAGTCGGTCCATGTTGTAGCAGGTGGCAGAATTTCCTTTTCTATGACTGAGTAATAGTCCAGCGCAATTTGCTTTTACACCCATCTAAGCAGGGCATGTTGGTTGACTCCTTGTTTCAGCTCAGCTGAAATGCTGCTGTGAATTTGGAAACCCATTAGGGTATCTCTTTGGAGAACTTATTTTCAGTTCCAGAAGTGGAATTGCTGGATCCTGTGGAAATTCTATGTTTGATTTTTCCAAGGAACACCCCCAGAAACAGCATCATTTTACATCCGTCCCAGCGGTGCACGTGAGCTCGAATTTGTCCACATCCTCAGAGGCTTGTTATTTGGGGGCGGGGTTACCGGGGGCTGCAGCTCTGTTGCCCCTGAGCCGTGGCCCCACACCTGTGCTCTGCTCATGACAGGAGTGTGGGAATGGGTGGGGTGGGATTGAACCCAAACTTGGCAGCTACCACTGAGCTGCGTCCCAAGCCCTTTTAAAATTTCACTTTGGTACAGGATCTTAATAAGTTGTCCATGCTGGTCTTGAGGTCGAGGTCTTCCTCAGCATCCCAAGTAGCTGGGATTACAGGTGTGTGCGGCCTCCGCGCCGTTCCGGAATTACCTTTTGTATGTGCTAGCTTTGTTCTTTGGCATGGGCAGACAGTTTTCTAGTATCACTTGTTTAAAAGGTGGCCTTTCCCCATTGGCCGATATTAGCACCTGACTCTGGGCGCTCCGTGCTGCCTGATTTGGCAGTGCTGGAGATGGAACCTAGGGAGTGCTGAGCTACCTCCCCATCCCTTTGTAGTTTTTTTATTTTGAGGCAGGGTCTTGCTGAATTTTCTGGACAGGACTCTAATTTACCATCCTCCTGCCTCAGCCTCCCGAGTAGTACTGCTTCCTCTTCTTTTTTTTAAAATTTGTGACAGGGTTTTGTTGTGTTGCCCAGGCTGGCTTCGAACTTGTGGACTCAAGTGATCCTTCCACCTCAGCGTCCTGAATAGCTTTCACTGCAGGGGTACACTACTGCGCCTGGCTCTAACTCCAGCCCTTCCCGAGCTGGCCAGGTGTTTGTGTGCCCGCTGGCACACGTAGCTGAGACTGCAGGTAAGAAATTCAGCCTGTGACTGCTGGCACTGTTTCCAGGAAATGCCGGGGGTTCTTGTGTGCTGCTCTGCTGTCCCAGAGTCGCTGCTGGGGGTCTGAGGAGAGCAGGGCCTGTGAGGTGGACCTCTGCCTCCTTCAGCGACAGCAGGCCGTGTGCCTTGTCACACAAGAGCACAGTGCATAAGGCCAACAGCCCGTCCGTGTTGTCTGAGGTGACCAGGCCACCCGTAATGTCTTACTAGCTTTTTCATTGCTTCCGTGCACCCACCACGCTTTTACATGCATTTTTATATAGTTCATAGCACGTACAACAGAATTAATTACAGAGTAGTGTACGGCGCCTTAGAAACCGCCAAGCTGCCGGCAAAGTGGCTGTGCCACTGTGTCCCCAGCTGTTGTGACCGGGAGAGTCTCACTGCTGCACGTTCCCCAGGGCTGGCGCCGCAGGTGTGCAGTGGTGTCCAGGTGGTGTTTTAATTTGCAGTTCCCTGGTGACCTGAGACTGAGATGTGAAGCATCTTTCATGTGCTCTCTTCTCTTCTCTTCTCTTCTCTCCTCTCCTCTCCTCTCCTCTCCTCTCCTCTCC